AGTTCTGGGCTCATCTGGAAGGTTTCAGCATCTTCCTAGGACTCTTGAAGTGGGTAAAATAGCTGTGGAGTTGTCAGAGGGCATGAAACTGTCCAGCAGCTCCCTTCATGTTGGCCAAGCACTCTGTGACTTTTACGGGTGTAGCCTGCCATGCCCTGAGGCTTTTGGTGGATGCCAGATGGGCCTCATTAACCCACCTTTACAGGTAGAGAAAGTGAGTTTCCCATAGGCAACAAGCCTTGACCCAGGGTGACCCAGCCAGGTGCGGGCACAGCTGGGGCTACTCCTCCTGGGTTGAGGTTCCAAGTGGTGGTGCCTCCCTCTTAATATGCCAGCACTTTTCTGGAACTGCATGGGGCTTGGAATCTCAACCTTGTCTTAAAAGCAGCAAGCTGGGTTAACTCTGAGCACTGTAGATGGTCCCTCGTGGGACTGTTGAGCGGGATCATTGTCATTGCAGAATGGATGTAAAGATAACAATGTCTGACATTTGTTTCAAAATAATATAGGAGGTGGGGAAGGAAGGTGGTGAGTACGGATGTATATTAGTCCATTCTCACACTGCTATAAAGAACTGCCTGAGTCCAGGCCGGGGTGGCTCACGCCTGTAATCCCAGCACTTTGGAAGGCCGAGGTGGGTGGATCACTTGAGGTCATGAGTTCAAGACCAGCCTGACCAACATGGTGAAACCTAAACTAAAAATACAAAAATTAGCCAGATATGGTGGCAGGCACCTGTAATCCCAGATACTCAGGAAGCTGAGGCAGAAGAATCGCTTGAACCCAGAAGGCAGAGGTTGCAGTGAGCCAAGGTTGCACCACTGCACTCCAGCCTGGGCCCACAGAGTGAGACTCCGTTCCAAAAAAAAAAAAAAAACTACCTGAGACTGGATAATTTATAAAGAAAAGAGCTTTAATTGGCTCATGGTTCCTCAGGCTGTACAGGAAACATGGCTGTGGAGGCCTCGGAAAACTTACGGTCATGGCGGAAGGCAAAGGGGAAGCAGGCATGTTTTTCGTGGCCAGAGCAGGAGTTAGAGTGGAAGCAGGGAGGTGCTACACACTTTTAAGCAGCCAGATCTTGTGAGAACTCTATCACGAGAGTAGTACTAGGGGGATGGTGCTAAACCACTAAAAACCACCCACATGATCCAATCACCTCCCACTAGGCCCCACCTTCAACATCTGGGATTACAATTGAATATGAGATTTGGGTGGGAACACAGAACCAAACCATATCAAGATGCAACAAGACTGGTCAGCATCATTGACTGAAGATGGGTAATGGATTCTTCGGGGTTCAATAAACCATTCTCTCTACTTTTGTGTATGTTTGAAATTTTCTATAATAAAAAGGTAACCAAAATTTTATCATAGACCTACTCTTTTCTCTCCCATTTCATTTTTTGATTACAAGGCTGTAATCACCTTTGTTTCACCTGCCCTCTTTATGCCTTTACCCACAGGATACAGAAGCTGGTCAAAGAGGAAGGTTGAGAGAATTTTCTTAGGGCTTTCAGAAGTCAACTCTCTTATTTGAAAATCTTTGGCTACTTCTGTCCCCTTTTCAGATGGCAGCTGACAGCTGGTCCACAGAGCACCAAACAATTTGCAATTACCACCTAAAATAGCAGAACCAATGCTCTGATCCTTGGGAGGGATCACAATACCTGTGACCACTAGCCCCAGCATGTAGTATTTGCAGATTCATATTCATTCTCTGCAGCCACCTCCTTCCATCTCTCTAGCCATGCATCTTGAGATGGGTGTTAGGCAGCGCCTGCTCCATGCCAGGCTCTGTGCTGGTGCTGGCTGTGTGAAGACCGTCAGCGCAGGAGGCCCCTCACGGGGGACCTGCGATCCGGATAGAAGTAACTCCAGGAGGTACGGGCTGAAAGTGACCCCAGGAGGACGTTCTGTCATTAAGAAAATAAGGGTCAGAGGAAGGTTTAAGCCAAGGAGAGGTTCTTCTAAGTCCACTCTAACTGCACCTCTTTGACTCCTGGGAAACTGCACGGGCCACTAGAGGATGTTTTCATCTGCAGTGTCTGATCAGCCTGTTCTGCCCCTCACTGGGGGCACCCCTGAGGGGAAGGGCCTGGGGGTGCCATCTGTGATAACCAAGGTGCAGAAGGGACCGAGAGCTTGTGGAATGCCTCTGGCCCTGACATTGGCCTGACCTGCTCCTGCCCCCATGTGCCTGAGCCCCACCCTCATAGTCACTCTGCCGTGGGTAATCTGCAAAACCTCAGCCGCTCCCTGCCAAGACCATCCTCCTCCCACGTCGGCCTTTCCTGGATCTGGGCTGGAAGGAATAACCAGGAGGATATGAAGTTCCAGAAGAGCAGAAGAAAACTGGAACCTTGGGGATTCTTTTTACAACAGAAAGCTCCCCATACAATTCCCATGGGGAATTTTATTTTTATATTCTGAAGAGTTGCCAGATACATTTATCCCAGTTTGGGGACACATTCTTTAGCCTTTGTCCATTCTAATGTGGCAGTGCAAGCCACAGATTTGGGAGGGACCTGGGGTGTGGCTTCCCCGGTGATGGCAGATCTCATGACATGGTCTTGGTCCTGATGGCTCCCACCAGCTTTCCCAAGCTCTGCTGCTCCCTTGGTGCCTGTGTGAAGGCAGTGCTGTGACAGGTCCTTTCAGGGACCAGCCATCCCAGTTGGCTTTCTCTTGATGATACAGTAGCCGAAGTCACTTGTGTGGCCCAAGGTGGGCGGGCAGGAAGAAGACCCGCTTGGTGGGATCCACATTACGTTCTATCAGCTTCAAGTGAGCCTTCTTCTTCTACCCCAAGTGACAGCCGACCCTGGCTGAAGGACCAGTGGTCTCTAGCCACACGGTGGGGTGGGAGGAGACATCCTGGACAGCAACTTTCTTCTTGGCCAACGCCAACAGCCTTGGCTTCTATCCTTGTTTGTCCTTGGTCTGAACAAGGTCCAGTTTAAGCAGCTGAGGTGCTGGAGGCCAGTGCGAGTCTTGGGTGATCTGGTTATTTGTAAGTGGCACTTTCAGGTGCTTTATAAAGGGTCGATCTCTGCAGCTTCAGTTTGCCATAAGGGACCATTTGCCAAAGTTGTGGTGCCTTTTCTGGTGGACATCCTGCCCAGTGCTGAGTTTCTGGGCCTTTTCTTGAATGGGGGATTGGCTGACTTCTAAAACCTCTGACTTATTCACGAGCACAGATGAAAGAGTCACTGCCTTCTCTTTGACATTCTTTCACTTTGCATCTCCGTATGACAAGAGGTGAGGTCCCTCCCTCACTTGAACATTTTATGTCTCTTTTGTGTGTACTAGCCCTGACCTCTCTCCCTGAAACTGCAGGCAGCTCCTCCTTCATTCTCACCTTTACTCTGTGTTTTTCCCAGCCCAACCCTCTATCTCAACAATAACAGATAATCAGCCACGCCACTTAGAGCACTCATACTGTGCTAGTCCAGCTAGATCACATCTCTGGACCTGAGTTTCCCATCTGTCAAATGAGATACATGATGCTTTTTAACATTTGTATGGCTCTTATTGCATGATTTAGCTGGGCGTGGTGGTTCATGCCTGTAATCCCTGCACTTTGAGAGGCCAAGGCAGGAGGATTGCTTGAGCCCAGGAGTTCAAGACCAGTCCTGGCAACATAGCTAGACCTTGTCTTTTATAAAAACTGAAAAAATTAGCCTGATGTGGTGATGAGCCCCTGTAGTCCCAACTGCTTGGGAGGCTGAAGTGGGAGAATCACTTGAGCCTGGGAGGTTGAGGCTTTCAGTGAGCTGTGATTGTGCCACTGCATTCCAGCCTGAGTGACAGAGCAGGACCTCGTTTCTTTAAAAAATTTTTTAAAAAAGATGCATGATTCCTTGCAAATTGCATAGAAAAAATCAAGGATAAAAAGCAGGCGATTAAATTTAATAAAACTCATTATCAAAAGTTTACATAGACTGAGGGCTTTTAGCCTTGGTCTTTAAAAAATCAGCTTTATTTTTTGAGATATAACTCACATTCCATAAAATTCGTTCTGCTTGATACATTTTTATTTAAAGGATGAATTTTGCATCGTCTTTAGGAAGATGTTCCTGACTTGCCTTTTGTGCTTGTGAATTTTTTTTAAAAAATCGTTTATTATTTATTTTGGTTATCGTGTGTCCATTCTGGGTTTAGGAAAGGGCTTTGGTTGGGAATGGGGGACTGGGGTTGGTCCTGGCCTGGCATAGCCACCGTCTAATGATCTCAGGGAAGGATGGAGCCCTGGCTGCCTACTGTTCTCGGCTGTGAAGCCTGACTCCCAGCTTACGCCACCCTCCTCACAGATGTACTTTGAGCGTCAGCTGATGCCTGTGCATGAGGTGTTGAAGGGGGCCCAGGGCATGGAAAGCATGGAAAGGAACTTGGAGTTAAAATACCTGGTGTCAGGTCCTGATTCTTTTCACTATCTGTGTTACCTTGAAGTGTTCCTTAACCCAACACAACTCCAAGAGTCACCAACTGCACGGAACACAAGGTGGCCGGTGACCCTGGAGCTGTGCAGAGCAGAGACCCTGCCTCAACCTCTCTGGCTCTAAGTTTCCATAGATATTAAAGGTGGAGGCTGCAGTCAATGATCTTCAAGTCTCTCCAAGTTTACAATGCATGCCTGCCTTCCTTCCTTCCCTCCTTCCATCCCTCTCTCCTTTTCTTTCTTACACATTTTATTTTTTTTAATTCGGGCAGAGGTGGGTATTAACAAATGCTGCTTGTCTCCAGCACATGGATGTGAACACCAGGCTCCTTCCTTCCCCAGTTCGATGGACCACTCAGTGTTCTCTGGACCACTCGGCCCCACCCAGTTTAGCATTATACTCACATTCATCCATTGGATTATGCCTTTTGTCTTCCCCACACAAGGCACTTTTTCCATTTTGGTGGACCAGGCAGTGAATGACCCAGGTCAGAGCTGCTTCCCTCTGGTGTTTGCAAGGCCACCTCTGATCTGATGGTGATCTCTCTGACTTTGCTAGAAACCCGGGAAGGCTGTGGCTGCCATCATCCAGGACATCCATTCCCAGAGGGAGAGGGACATGTTCCGGGAAGCAGACAGGTGAGGCCCCAAGCCCTAAGTCTCCAGGCAGGTTCTGGGCAGTGGGAACACACTCCTGTTTCTCATTCTTAGGGGCATTTGAGTCATGCTGTGCCCTGCTCTTGCCCCTACCCCATCCATCTGCTTTTCTGGGTCCCACCTTTCCATATTCCCTATGAAAAACACCAGTCCAGAAGTCTAAACTGGCTTCTGTTTAGAACCAGCTCTTGGTTTTTCATGAGTTGAATGTAGGTGTAGGAAGTAGAATGTAGATGGTTTTTGAACAGTCACTTTCTCTGAACATTGAATACATTCAGTTTTCCAACCCATTTCTTCCAACTGAAGTTTGTGATCAGGCCAAGCTGGGGCTACAGTTTGACCACAGTCACTCCCTTACAAAGACAGTTCCTGCAGAGAACCGAGGTAGAAAACTGCAGGAGCAGGCACGTGGCTGGCACATCCTGGGATTCTTGCTGCAGTGGCCGTAGGCGGTGCTGTCACTTCCCAGTAGAGGACACAAGCCCAGGCTGTTTCCCCCATGATGGTCAGGCAGCCTGGTCCTAGCGAGATGCACCTCGGTGTCCCCTGGTCAATGAGGGCTGCGTGGTTTTCCTGTATTTGGGAACTTAATGGAAAAATGCTCATCCTTTTAGAGTATCGGATATATGACTCAGTTGACCTGCTTAATAACCAAACAGTCTTCAAAGTGTATGTGTATATGTGTGTGTATATCTTTGTATGTAACTGTTCAGGCTTGCTATCTTCATTTGTTTATTAGTTTGTCTGTTTTTTAAAAAAATTATGATTATTTGGGTTTTTAAAAGACGTGTAAAGTCCCATCCTGCCACCTGCAATTCTGCAGCAGAGCGGAGGGAGTTTAGGAAGTCTTGCTCTGAACCTTACACAGGTTGGGGTCCTTGTCTGGGTTTCAGTTTCTTCATCTCAAATGTGTAGGTCGGAGTTCTAGAGTCTCTTCCAACCCTAAAATATATTCCTAATTCTTTTTTTTTTTTTAACCTCTGAGCCTACCCTCCCCAATAATTAGCTTCCCTTTTCCATGCATAAATTGAGCTAAGAAATAAATGAGAAAAGTGGAGGCTAAGAGGTTGGCTTTATTCTGATACAGCCCAAATGTAGAAGTGGCTTCAAGTCTTCTGGCTAAGAGGCCGGCTAACAGCACCCAGGGTTAGGCAGCCTTACCCACTAGGCTGGACTAGGGCAATCTTGCCCCCCAGTGCCCCCCCTGCAAACCCCCAGGAGGAGAGTCAGAGGTCTGCTCCCTGAGCATAGCTCCCTTCCAAGAGAAGGCAAGCTGGAGCCGACCCAAAGCAACCCAGTTCTTCTTCCTAGTTCCCAGGAGCAGGATGAGTAAAGGGATAGAGAGTGGCCAGTGCTGTGCTTAGGAGAAGTCCTCTGCACAGAAGCCAGAAGGGAGGAAAAGGCTTTCTCCCGAACCACTCCATATGGTTGTGTAGAGTTGGGAGTTAAGAGTGTATACAGTATATCTAAGAGAGAGACTGTATCTGTGTGTGGATGGGGTGGGATGGGAGGCGTGAAGATTCCTAATCCTGCTCCTTGGTTCCCTCACAGATATGGCCCAGAAAGGCCACGGTCTCGTAGTCCGGTGAGCCGGTCACTCTCCCCGAGATCCCACACTCCCAGCTTCACCTCCTGCAGCTCTTCCCACAGCCCTCCGGGCCCCTCCCGGGCTGACTGGGGCAATAGCAGGGACTCCTGGGAGCACTCTCCCTATGCCAGGAGGGAGGAAGAGCGAGACCCGGCTCCCTGGAGGGAGAACGGGGATGACAAAAGGGACAGGATGGACCCCTGGGCACATGACCGCAAACACCACCCCCGGCAACTGGACAAGGCTGAGTTGGACGAGCGACTGGAAGGAGGGAGGTCCCACCGAGAGAAGTACCTGAGGTCTGGATCTCCCAACCCGCCCCACTCTGTGTCCAGCTACAAAAGCCGCGAAGATGGCTACTACCGGAAAGAGCCCAAAGTCAAGTTGGACAAGTATCTGAAGCAGCAGCAGGATGGCCCTGGGAGGTCCAGGAGGAAGGACGAGGCCAGGCTGCGGGAAAGCAGACACCCCCATCCCGATGACTCAGGCAAGGAAGATGGGCTGGGGCCAAAGGTCACTAGGGCCCCTGAGGGCGCCAAGTCCAAGCAGAATGAGAAAAATAAAACCAAGAGACCTGATAGAGACCAAGAAGGAGCTGATGATAGAAAAGAAAACACAGTGGCAGAGAATGAGGTAATGATCAATCTCTTCTCCAGGTAAGGCGAGGCAGGCCCTGAAGGAGAATAATCCTAATAATGTAATGAGGATGAATGTTTATTGAATGAATGAACATTTACTGGCTATTTACTATGTGCTAGGCACTGTGCGAGACACTTTATCTCAATGAACTCATTTAATCCTCACAGGTTTTGAGTACCAACCTTTGAGTTTGGTACTATTGTTACTGCAGATGAGGAAACTGAGGCACAGAGAACTTACGTTATTTGTCCAAGAACACACAGTGAGGAAATGGCAGACCCGGAATTATACCCAGGAGATCTGGCCCCAAATCCCACGACACCTGTTGCCTTTACTAGAAGTTAGGGCGGGACATGATGGAAAAACCTGTAGTCCTGTTTGTCCAGTAGGGAGTGGCCCTGAAGTGTTTATATCCAAACAGCCTCCCAAGGGAGATTAGATCTTTGGTTCATTCTGTCCTCCCTCCTGCTAAAAGCATTTACCAATCCTAGAACTCTGATGAGAGGTGGTGAAAGAGAAGCCGCCACCACCCACTAAATTAAACTGGGTGCCCAGAGCTGTCCACAGTGTTTTACCTCCACTCTAATAAAAATGCACGGCGACCGGGCACAGTGGCTCATGCCTGTAATCCCAGCACTTTGGGAGGCCGAGGCAGGCAGATCACCTGAGGTCAGGAGTTTGAGACCAGCCTGGCCAATATGGTGAAACCCCATCTCTACTAAAGTATAAAAATTGTCCAGGCAAGGTGATGCACCCCTGTAGTCCCAGCTACTCAGGAGGCTGAGGCAGGAGAATCACTTTAACCCGGGAGGCGGAGGTTGCAGTGAGCCGAGATGATGCCATTGTACTCCAGCCTGGATGACAAGAACAAAACTCTGTTTCAGAAAAAAAAAAATGCATGGCAATTGGCTGGCACCTTCATTCCGGCATCTGAAAGGTCTGAGGGCTTGCAGCAGTGCTTCAGTTCACACAGGGGCATCACAAGGAGGGTTCTGGTTACCAGGTTTATATTCCAACTTGGCTTACACTTCCTTCTTGCCAGAGCCTTCTATATTTAAGTAGGGGTAGGATAAGTGAGGTTTGGCAATATGCATAAGAAGCCTAATTTTTAAAATCCTCCACACATATCTTCTAGTCATTCTGACCTGGGAGTTGGTGACAATACTAAGTGCAAATAAGAAGCCCAAATCTCAACTCCATGAACACCGAAGAGTCACCCTTTTGGATGCTACTTCAGCATTCGTTCCCACATGTATAGATGGAGTGCCACTTTGCCAGGTGGTGTGCTAGGTATAGGTGAGCCAAAGGTGAATAGGACATAGTCCATGTTATAGCAGAGACTGAAGTCCAATGGTGGAAACAGACCTATTAATATAAAAATAATTTGTATACAATGGGACTCATGCCAGTATTTACAGCGAATGAGCTGCTCTGTGGACAATTATTAACTCTGCACAGGAACAGGAAAACAGCTGCTCAGAGAGGGTGATAGTCGAGCTGAGTATTAAAAGTAGAAAAAAGCAGTTTGGGTTTTTGTTTTTGTTTTTGTTTTTGTTTTTGTTTTGAGATGGAGTCTCGCTCTGTTGCCCAGGCTGGAGTGCAGTGGTGTAATCTCAGCTCACTGCAACCTCTGCCTCCCAGGTTCAAGCGATTCTCCTGCCTCGGCCTCCTTAGTATTTGGGATTACAGGTATGCACCACCACACCTGGCTAATTTTTATATTTTTAGTAGAGACAGGGTTTCACCATGTTGGTCAGGCTGGTCTCGAACTCCTGACCTCGTGATCCTCCTGCCTCAGCCTCCCAAAGTGCTGGATTACAGGCATGAGCCACCATGCCCCGCCGGGGTTCTTGATAGAAGCAGAAGCAAGGGCAAAAGTGAAAAAGAAAGACTGTTTTGAAAAACCTGGAGATACTCGGCATGGCTGCATCTTTAGGACAGAGTAGGGATAATGTTTTTAAAGAGTAAAATAGTGACTCTGATGCAAATATATAATGAATACATGTCAAAGGTTTTACCCAACTCATTAATTAATGAGGGCATCATAAGATGCAAAAACCAACTCAAAAGAGAATCGAAAGAGCAGGCAACATATACAGGCAATCAGGAATGCTAAAATGAATTTGCTAATAGGTGTAAAAGTGGCCCCTTCCACAGGGGCAGGGAATCGGTTGCATCTCCAGCAGAGACAATTCTTGTGTATCTCTAGGAACAAGAATCATTTGTATTAGGATCTGATTTCTGCAACTTATATGGTTGTAAAATAGCTCAGTTCGAGACAATGAAAGGTGCAGACTTCTATAGAATCAGATGCCCTGAAGGGATGTGCTAGACAAATGCCCAGCATTCCAGTGAAAGGACACCCAGTAGTCTTTTTTTGCCCATTACAAAGTCTGCCACAATTTTTCCTAACTGGCATAGCAGGGGGAAGCACAGGAGATGAGATTAGGGAGGAGGGTGAGGTGGACTCATGGAAGACATTGTGTGCCTCACCAAGGACTTGAACTGCATCCCAAAGACTTGGTGAACCAGTGGATATTTTTAAAAGTATATCTGCTTGGAAGGGTCCCAGTTGCTGGTGATGGATGATGGGCAGAGAGCAAGAGTTGGCAGGGGCTCAAGGAAAGCCTGGGCTTCATGTGGGTACCACCAGCCTGCCAACCCTCTCTCCCCCTACGCTGGGAGGTAGAACTGCTCCCTGCACTTCTACTCACACTCCTGAGACTCTGCTCTGACGACCCCATTTCTCCTACTGTTTTACCACCCTGCTCTCATCGGTTTGTATAACATTGCTCATTTAAGGTGACACTATGTGTCAGCCAAAGAGCCCAGATGGAAAAAGAGTCTCAGAAAGCCCCAAGAGTTTCCCCACAGTTCTGGCCCTCAAGTTGGTTCTGCCTTTTACAGCCTTGGGGTGGAGTCAGTAGGGACTTACTGGGGCCCCTCACAGATTGTTTCTTTAGATTTGGAGCCAGGCAGTCCAACACTGTGTTGGAATGACAGCAGAACAGAAAATATTTTGCACTGTCCTCAAACTCTGTATGATGAACTTGAGAAAAGCCCAGACCCCATAGGGCTGCCCCAGGAGTCAGATAACAGGTGGCAACTGAACTTTGGAATGAAGGCAGCAGGGCTTGCTGTTCTTCTAGTGCACCAGGCACCTCCCGCCCTCAGCGCCTTTACAGGTGTTGCTGCTGCCAAGGAGTCACAAGTCTTCCTGGCTTGCTTCTCACCTCCTTTGTCTTTACTCATGGCCACATTCTCTATTCTCCCTGACCACTACATACGATTTCAACACCCCAACCTGCTCCTCCCCCTCCCACCACTGCATACCATCTCAACACCTCAACCCATTCCTCTCCCATCCCACCACTGCAGACCATTTCGACACCCCAACCCATTCCTCTCCTACCCCACCACTGCATACCATGTCAACACCACAACCCATTCCTCTCCCTCCCCACCACTGCAGACCATCTCAACACCCCAACCTGCTTCCCTCCCTCCCACCACTGCAGACCATATCAACACCCCAACCCACTCTTCTCCCTCCCACCACTGCAGACCATCTTAACACCCCAACCCATTCCTCTCCCTCCCCACCACTGCAGACCATCTCAACACCACAACCTCCTCCTCTCCCTCCCCACCACTGCAGACCATCTCAACACCACAACCCACTCTTTTCCCTCCCACCATTGCAGACCATCTCAACACCCCAACCCATTCCTCTCCCTCCCCACCACTGCAGACCATCTCAACACCCCAACCCATTCCTCTCCTACCCCACCACTGCAGACCATTCAACACCTCAACCCACTCCTCCCTCCCCACCACTGCAGACCATTCAACACCCCAACCCATTCCTCTCCCTCCCCACCACTGCAGACCATCTCAACACCCCAACCCACTGCTCTCCCTCCCACCATTGCAGACCATCTCAACACCTCAACCCATTCCTCTCCCACCCCACCACTGCAGACCATCTCAACACCTCAACCCATTCCTCTCCCACCACACCACTGCAGACCATCTCAACACCACAACCTACTCTTCTCCCTCCCCACCACTGCAGACCATCTCAACACCACAACCCACTCTTTTCCCTCCCACCATTGCAGACCATCTCAACACCCCAACCCATTCCTCTCCCTCCCCACCACTGCAGACCATCTCAACACCACAACCTGCTCCTCTCCCTCCCCACCACTGCAGACCATCTCAACACCACAACCCATTCCTCTCCCTCCCCACCACTGCAGACCTTCTCAACACCCCAACCTGCTCCCCTTCCTCCCACTACTGCAGACCATCTCAGCACCCCAACCTACTCTTCTCCCTCCCCACCGCTGCAGACTATCTCAACATGACAACCTGCTCCCCTCCCTCCCACTACTGCAGACCATCTCAACACCCCAACCCCCTCCTCTACCTCCCTACTTTCCTGTTTTTGGTGGCATTTACCACCTTTAAACCTATCACTTAATGTCTTTATTTTACTTAGTGTCTATTGTCACCCCCGGCTCCCAGGTGTAACCTTCACAAGGCAGGGAGTTTTGTCTGTTGTGTTCACTGCTGTGTTCCCAGTCCCTAGAGGAGGGCTTAGCACAGAGCGGGTGTCCGGTGGGTTATCTGTTGAAGGTATGAAGGATGGAACCCAGACTCTGGAGGCAAAGGCCTGGCTTCTGAGAACCAGGTCACACCCTGTTTTCTTCTGCCTCAGTTTTCTTGTTTGTAAAATGGGTGTGATCACAAGGCTGTTGTACTACTTTAAAGAGCCCACGCTCATTAAAAAATCCTGAGCTTTCTGGAGAAAGTGCCCATGGTTGAGAAGCCAGTGTGCGTGCTGCTCCGTGGTGATGGGTGGCCACATCCGTACCTGAGACCCAATCCTGGCCACAGGACCATAAAGAGGAGGAAATAAATCAAGTCACAGATAAGGAAAACATGGGGAAGAAACACTGCTACATCCTACTGGGAGGGGGGTTCGAGAGTGGCAAGCCCAGGTGCCTAGGGAAGGGAAGCCAGGCTAATGACAATTGGAGCCAGGCCAGCGTGATGGGACCATGGTTGACTGAGGAAGCGGTGTCATCTGTGGGGCTGGAGCCACTGCTCAGCTCCATTCTACAGCTGCCATACAGGAATGCATGCCACGCTGTCAAATCTCCCTTTTCTTAGAGCAAGACAAATGCCTAGTATCAACCAAAACATAGCTGTGGGCTGGATGCCTTCTAGAAGCCCCAGAGTGTAACCCCTGGTATAACCAATCCATAACAGGAGAAGATTTTTAAAACCCTTATGCTCGCTTCAGAGCCTAGACAAGACCCAACCATGTGGAAAGACAGGTGAGAACTTGTTATTCACCCCACCCCCTTCTACCAATTTCATTCTTTTATTGACCAATATTTGTGGCGCACCTGGCACTGAGACCACAGTTAGTGACACTGAAATGACCCCTGGGCTCGCGGAGCTCATAGTCCAGTGAGAGAAATGCTAATCCAGTGATTTCACAAATGAACAGAAGAGCTTGACTATTAAATGCTACGAAGGAGATGAAGGTACACAATGCTGAGGGCCTGTGATAAATCCGAGCCTTCTCAGGGTTAGGCTGTGACTATTGAGATTTGGAGGCATGGTGAGTATTGACTGGATGAAAAGAAAGTGAAAAGACAGAGGGAGCAGCACGCACAAGGGCCTCCAGCAGCTCCAGGGCTCCGGCGTTGCCGTAGCAGAGAGCTGGCATTAGAGTAACGGGAGGTGAGGCTGACTTATTAACAGGGCCTATACTATGCAGGGCCTTGTAGGCAGGTTGAAGATTTTTGCCTTTATCCTAAGTACCAGGGGAAGCAAATGAAGTAGTTAAGCAAGAAAATACAGTGAGGAGGCTGGACACAGTGGCTCATGTCTGTAATCCCAGCACTTTGTGAGGCCAAGGCAGGCAGATCACTTGAGGTCAGGAGTTCGAGACTAGCCTTGCCAACATGGTGAAACCCCGTCTCTGCTAAAAGTAAAAATAAAATAAAATAAAATAAAATAAGCCAGGCGTGGTGGTGGGACCTGTAATCCCAGCTACTCGGGAGGCTGAGGCATCAGAATTGCTTGAACCCAGGAGGCGGAGGTTGCAGTGAGCTGAGGTCATGCCATTGCACTCCAGCCTGGGCAACAAGAGGAAAACTCCATCTCAAAAAAAAAAAAAAAAAAAAAAAAGAAAAGACAATACGTTGAGGATGTGATCATTTTTGCATTTTGGAATGATCATTCTTGATTGCCTTGGCAAGAATAGATTTTGGGGGAGGGTACAGAGCAGAAGTGGGAGACCAGTTTGGAAGTGGTTCAGTAGCCCAGGCCCTGTGGTGGCAGAGCCCTGCTTGCAAGAGTTGGCGTTTCAGTCTCAGTCTGCGAGCTGATGTGGGCAGCTGGGGGCACCCGTTGCACCCATCTGTTCCCCTTGAGCTGCTGCCTTGTCCTGGAAGTGATCCCAGAGCAAAGGGAAGCTCTGAAAGGTTGTTTCCTTTGCCTGCAGGGAGGAAGAGCAGGGGTCTGCTTGGTGGAGGGCTTTCAGCCCAGCTGGCAAGACTGTCCCTGCCTCTCCCAACTTGAACTGAAGGGGGTTCCTTTACTGTGTTGATCTGGGAGTGCGGCTGCAGGAGCTGCTTGGGAAGGGTAAGGATTATTCATTTTGACAAGAGAGGGCCATGCATAGTTGATTAGGGAGATAAAAATAAAGTCACCTGTTGGTAGAAGCTATAATAGCTAAAAAGGTATTTGTAGCTGCTTTACACTCAGGTTAGTGCAGTAGACTTCAGCAAAGCTTTTGGTGGAATCTTCACAGCAAACACTGGAAACAGAAAGGACTTGAGGATTTGAACCATGTGTCCCTGTCTGGTAATAACTGGTGAAACTAGTCAGCCCTGAGCTTCCGCTCCAGCTGGCTCCTAGTCAGCTCAAGGAGGTATGTCTGATTGTAAGAAATCAGAACTAGAGTGGTTTATTTCAAACCAACCTCAGCCAAGAATGTCCTAGAACTGCAACTTGCCCCCCAGAAAACCCAGGAGTAGTCATTGATTTGGTGGACAAAGTTTAAGTCATGGGAGAATATCCCCCCAGAAACTTCTAACGTGGGGGTTGGCAAAGTTTTCTACAAAGGACCAGATGGTAAATATTTTAGCCTATGTGGGCCAAGAGGCAAAATTGCGGATTTTATGTAGGCACTTCTATAATCACTTAAAATGTAATTATGTGAACATGTACAATTCATTCTTAGCTCACACGCTATACAAAAACTGGCTGCAGGCCAGATTTGCTGATCCCCTGTCTTAAAGGTTGGTTAGAGGCCCTAATTCTCAAACCAAACGCCTGCTTTCAATTGTTTACTTTCACAGACATGGGCATTACTGTGAGGGCCCTGATTTGGGGGAAAGGAATACAAGGAAGGAAGAAAGGGAGTGCTAGTTTGGGCTGTCACTCTAGGACAGAGAGCAAAAGAAAGGTGCGAGGGCATTCTGACTGGGTGACAACGCCCTTTCTACCTATAAGTGTCCTGAATGATTTAACCCCAGGGTCTTGGCCGGCCCAGTAGTTTGGCTGCTTCTACTCTGCAAAAAATACCAAGTTTGCCAGGGATTTCTGCCCCCTAAAGACATCGGGCCAGGCTTCAAGACATTTCTCTGCCTCCATTTGTCTGTGTGACTGTGAGCAAATGACTTAACCTCTCTGAACCTCAGTTTTCTGATCTATAAAATGAAGATGCTAATAACAGCCGCCTCCGAGGGATTCCGGGAGGATAAAGAAAATGCTGTATGTGAAACGCCTCTGAGAGCTGGGACCTGCATTCAATATCATTCTTTTTTTCTTCTCCCTGTCACTGCTCACTGTTGATTTGGTTTGTTCTGTCCTTCCTTTGGTAAGGCTGGAAAAGAGGAACAGGAGGGCGTGGAAGAAAGCCCTCAATCAGTGGACAGACAAGAGAAAGAAGCAGAGTTCTCTGATCCGGAAAACACAAGGACAAAGAAGGTAAAGTTTATTTTAGACTCTGCACTTCTGCCATGAGGGACTGAGTCACAGGAGTCCCCCTGTTGCCTGGTGATGTCCTGCTAGATGGAATATGGCTGAGACCCCACCATTAGTTACATGAATGAACCAGTGCTCCTAGCACTACTTTGGAGGAGTGGCTGTGCCTGGAATCTTCGGATAGTTTTTGTTGAAGCGATCTTTACCCACATGTCTGAGCTCTGCTCACTCTCCAGCAACTTGGCTGTGTTCCCATGAGAAAACATGTGCCCAAAAAAAGACTCAGGCTTCAGAGCCAGGCTCCCAAAATAGACAAGTCCTTTGGCGGGGATGGGGTGAGAAGCTGCTTTGGGCACTCAGGCTGGGGCCCTGACTTCAGCAGGCCCAGACCCTAGGATTAACAAGACATCTACTGTGCTTGTACAGATTGTTTTACTTAATTAAAATGAAAAATCCAGTTACAGTTCTCCTGGGCTGGGGCTGCCACAACAAAAAGAAATGTCCTTGGAACGGGGCCATCTTCGTGCCTTTCCAGTCAGGAGAAGCAGGAGAGATGAGTATCGCTGGCAGGAAAGCTGATCTCCTAAATCTTTCTGTGGAGTCAGGAGTCCATGGGCTGCTGTAGATGCCAAGGGGAAAGTTCTAGAAGGGGCCAAGTAGGAGCTTTGACTGTGGAAGTGTATGTACCCCTGCTGGGAGAGGGTGCTTGGGGGAATTTTGTGAGGGGCTTTGCTGCAGTTACATTTAGTGGTGACCCAGATGCAAAAAAGATGTTCCAGTAAGTATTTAGAGTTTATAACTTAATTATTCATGCATTCAAAAACTGTATATTGAGCACCTGTTATCTACTAGGGCTTGAAATTCTTTGTGTCTCTTTAAATACGGTGGATTAAGCATTAAGGGCTTATTCCAAACCTTGAGCATCACCCTAAGGATGAGTTGGTGCTGTTGGACTTGAGTGATTCGCAGTAATTGTACCAGGTAGAGGTAAGAATGCTCAGGTTCTTCCTGATTGGAGGGGTCCTCATGGCCAAGTCTTGTGCCTTCCGGTTGAGTGCTCTCAACCACCCTCTGACCTCCTTCTGCATTTTTGTACAGGAACAAGATTGGGAGAGTGGAAGTGAGGCAGAGGGGGAGAGCTGGTATCCCACGAACATGGAGGAGCTGGTGACAGTGGACGAGGTTGGGGAAGAAGAAGATTTTATCATGGAACCAGACATCCCAGAGCTGGAAGAAATTGTGCCCATTGACCAGAAAGACAAAATCTGCCCAGAAACATGTTCATGTGTGACAACCACCTTAGACCTAGACCTGGCCCAGGATTTCCCCAAGGAGGGAGTCAAGGCCGTAGGGAATGGGGCTGCAGAAATCAGCCTCAAGTCACCCAGAGAACTGCCCTGTGCTTCCACAAGCTGTCCCAGTGACATGGACGTGGAAATGCCTGGCCTAAATCTGGATGCTGAGCGGAAGCCAGCTGAAAGTGAGACAGGCCTCTCCCTGGAGGATTCAGATTGCTACGAGAAGGAGGTAAAGGGAGTGGAGAGCTCAGATGTTCATCCAGCCCCTACAGTCCAGCAAATGTCTTCCCCTAAGCCAGCAGAGGAGAGGGCCCGGCAGCCAAGCCCATTTGTCGATGATTGCAAGACCAGGGGGACCCCTGAAGATGGGGCTTGCGAAGGCAGCCCTCTGGAGGAGAAAACCAGCCCCCCCATCGAAACCGACCTCCAAAGCCAAGCTTGCCAAGGAGTGTTGACCCCGGGTAACTACCTCCCCTTTCCTCATGGGTGGTCGGGTTGATTGGACCCCTGCTCACCTGATAAAGTATGAGCATGTGCAGGCTGGAATGAACATAAGTAAGGTTTCATCTAGCATTAAAGTGGGTGCAGAAAGTGATTTAGTAACAGAGGCAAGCCTCTAAAAGCCTGGCTAAACTGTTAGCGATTTTAGGCAAGTGGTGTAAAGGAAGTCAGATAGGAGGCTGCATGTTTTCTGACAAGCAAACTCAGGGCAGACTTCTCTGCATTTACAGGAGCCCAGATGGACTTGGATAACTAAAATTAGATTGAGTTATCAGCAAAAGGAGATCAGGAGGAGCCTCATGCCTGCACAGCAGAGGGCCACCCAGGCTGTTATTTGTGTGATGGGGGCAGGAATAGGGGAGGCAAGAAAGGAGTGGAAGGGGAAGGAACAGGGGATCCCTAAAGGGTACAGCTGTTCCCCTTCTTACTACCTCAGACCCATTTTTTGCTAGGGTCTGACGGTGATACAAGACTTGTTTTAGGATCTTCTCTTACTCCATTGGAGGTGACGTTTTGTGCCTATGCCCGGCACTGTGACATCATGAAAGAGAGAGTTTAAAATAGGCTAAGCCCTGTCTTCTCTGCCAAGTGGAACCTCAGATCCATCAAGGGGTTTGGGGGAAGGGAGGGAGAGTAGCCTTTAAGATTCTCACTGTGAAAATAATTAGGGATTTGCTTTACAGAAAGCCTGCAGCACACCAGGCTTTGAAGTGAAAGTCGGGGACAGAAAATACAGAGGAAAGGCTTAAAAATGAACATTTCAACCCAGAGCCCTGTGGGTAGCATGAACTATTAGGTAACTGGGAGGTTTGGGATTTTTTCCATGTCAAGATGACCTGAGCTGTTTTTTACCTGCATGGATCTGAGTTTCCATGGAAACCCCGCCGTGAAATGCCTTCTTGTTGCTAGAGAAACCCTGAGGCCCAGGCTCTGTCTAGAGAAGGCAAGAATAAAGGAGCAGTGAAATCTTCACTTCACTCCAGTCAAACCCCTTTTATTTTGCAGTATAGGTCTCAACATGTGCCAGTGTTAGAGGCTCATTAGCTGACCCAGTGTTTAGGGTTCATATTTAATAACAGCTTGACAAGCTTGGGGAGAGAATGGTATTGCCTGTTTTGCTAGCCTCGGTGGACGTCAGCACAATTTTTGCCCGTCAGTAATTCCTCTGCCTGCAGAGATGGAATGATACTGAGATGGGAGGCATGGGGGGTGGATCTTCTCAACTGAAGCCATCAGTAGCCCATCCCCCTGGGCCAAATGCAAAGATTTGCCAAGTTTTATTGTGTGTGGCATTCTTTTGGCAGTGGAAAAAGCTCCTAATGACAGTGCTTTGGTTCTAATTAGCAGCCGTTGCCCTAGCCTTATGTGATTAAGCAGTCCAACGGACAATTCCCAATCATACTATGCAGGGATAGAATTTCAGGGACTCATTGAGGCGTGTTGTATTTCATTTCTTTTCTTTTCTTTTTGCCTTGGTTCATGTTTTGCAGAAAACTCCAGGTATGTGGAAATGAAATCTCTGGAGGTGAGGTCACCAGAGTACACTGAAGTGGAACTGAAACAGCCCCTTTCTTTGCCTTCTTGGGAACCAGAGGATGTGTTCAGTGAACTTAGCATTCCTCTAGGTAAGCAAAACACACAGTCCTTACTGAAATTCAGGTCTAGGAAATAACAGTTCCATAGCCACCTCTAAGAACTTGAGAGGGCTTTTTGTCATTTTGTTGTTGTCATTGTTTTTTGTCCTTTTGAGACAAGATCTTGCTCTGTCACCCAGGTTGCAGTGCAGTGGCATGATCTTAGCTCACTGCAGCCTCAAATTCCTGCGCTCAAGTGATCCTTCCTCCGCAGCCTCCCGAGTAACTGGGACCACAGGTGCACACCACCAGGCCCAGCTAATTTTTTTATTTTTATTTTTTGTAGAGATGGGGTCTCCATATGTGGCCCAGGCTGGTCTTCAACTCCTGGGCTTAAGTGATCCTCCTGCCTCAGCTTCCCAAAGTGCCGGGATTACAGGCGTGAGCCACTTCACCTGGCCAGCCTATCATTATTTTAAATGTATGATGCAATAGCCTAGATTTGCAAGGGGCAGCTGTAAAGCTTCTTGCAATTTCAGTCTCCTATAGTAGACCAGATACTCCATGAACACACGCCTTGAATAGCACTGCCCTGGGACCCAGAGCTAAGAAGCCTTGTCTTTCCTGTCAGGGAATGCTTTATTCTTGATGACATGGAGGCCTTAAGCCTAGCCCTTATTCAGGCAGGAAAGCAAATGCCCAGCAGCCTCCATAAAGTCAATAGAAATGAACTTCTTCTGCCATTGTTCATTGCTCCAGCCCTTCCCAGAACAATGCTACATTTTTTTTCTTCTTAGAGGACAAACTTTTTTGAGGCAATGATGCTGAATAGACTGTGTTTGGGACAGACTGCCCCTAGTTCATAGAAAGGGTATTGAGCAGAGAGACCTGGGTTTCTGTCCTCCCTACTTAAGGGTGACTGTGTGTCCTTAGATAAGTCATAGCCCTTCTTGAGTCTTAGTTTTCTCGCTGTAATTTGGACAGTGATTTTTTCAATGGTGGAAGTGTTGGGATGAAGTGGGGAGGGAGTTTATTGATGGAATCACCTAGGAGTGAATCCCTTTTCAAAGAGGAGAGTTCAGCAGAGTCTCGGGGAGGGAGTGAAGGCACTTTAATATAATTCCCTGGGAGATTCTGACGTAACTATTAACCCAGCAACTCCAGCCTATATCATCTTTGAGTCCTCGCATTAGCTCTGAAAGGTCGGAAAGTAATTAGATAAAGCAGTAGTAGCAGCTGCTCAGAAGGAGAGCTCGGGAAAGTGTCATCTGGGAAAGTGTCACACAGAAGCATGAGAAGCACGGGTCATCTGATGCCTGATGACCACGTGTCTGATCATGCAGGGAGGGGCTGGTCAGTGTGGAGGCTCATCCTTTCCATCCACCTTGCTCTTTTTTTCCCTTCTCCTTTTAAAAAAAGTCTTACTATTTCTTCCCTCCAGATGTACCATTTTTTTAGTCAGATCTGGAGAGCAAACTTCCTTTTTTTTTTTTAAAGGGATACATTTGCTGCACAGCATCTCCCAAGACAAAAATATAAGAAAGAAGGGAAAAGAAATACTAACCTTAGAATAAACTGAGATGACCCTCAGTATTTTAGCTCTAGAAAACAGTTGCAAAGGCCACCCTACAGGAGAAGAGAGGCTCCTTCATACATTCAGCCAGTCAGCAGATACTTACTGGATAACATGTACTGTGCTAGACACTCTGGGGTAACCAAGAAATAGAACGCAAGTCTCTTGTCATCCAAGAACTTGGAACCTAATTGACACTAGCAAAAATTAAGAATAAATTCTGCTACCTTGTAATTTGTGTCTTTTTATTACTGTTTTTCATTACAGAAACTGTGAAAGACTATTGTAACAAATTCAAAAAATAAGAACCATATCAAGTCAATATTAAAGGTCTGATCTCTTCCCTGCAGTCTCTCCCCAGTCTCCAGAGGTAGCCTACTACCGTCATGCCCACGGTTTTTCTCTCACAAAAATAGGATCACACTACACACATAATGTTCTACAAGTTCACTTAGTAGCAGGTCTTAGAGATTTCTTCATGTCGGTACACAGAGAACACATTCTTTTTAACCACTGCAAATATTCCATCGTAAAAGCTATGCTGTAAATGACTGATCTTTCCTCTGCTGGTGAACACGTAGGCTGTCTGCTCTTTTTCCCGTTTTAATAGCTAAGATTTTATTGTTAACATTCCCCATGCAGGCACCATTCCTAGTGATCTGCATGCATTATCACATTTAACCCTCTCAAAACACCTATGAGGTAGATACTGTTTTTATCCTTATTTAACAGATAAAAAATCTGAGATGCAGAGTCACACAGCTAAGGACAGGCAAAAACCAGAGTCAGGTTCAAACCCCAGTCATCTGACTCTAGAGCCATGTTCTTAGCCTTTGTTCTCTGCTGCCTTTCAGATGTGCTTATTCAGTGGTATATGTGTGCCAGTGTTCCTGCGGGATAGCGTCCTAGCCAGGGGGTTGTAGGGTCGTATGTATTTGCATTTTAAATTTTCATAATTGCTACTAAATTGCACTCCAAAAAGATGGTATCAGTTTTCACTGTGACCTTGAGTGAGAGTTCCCAATATCCACCTCCCATTGGATTTTATCAGTTTTTAATCTTTCCCAACCAGTTAGGAGGAAACTAGTATCTCGCCTTTTTTAAATTGGCTGTATTGAGGTATAATTGATATATAGTAAGTGCACATAAAGTGCATAGTTTGATCAGTTTTCACCTATAAATATACCCATGAGACCATCACCACAGTCAAGACTGGGAACAATGTTCATCATATCCCAAATTTCCTGTCTCCTATGTAACCCCTCTCTCCCCACAGTGCAACCCCCAGGTAAAGGATCTCCTTTCTGTCACTAAATATGAGTTTGCACTTTCTAGAGTTTTACATAAAGGAATCATATTGTATGTGCTAGTTTGGCTTCTTTTGCTCAACATCATTGAGATTCATCTGTACTGTTGGGTGGATCAGTAGTATGTTTCTTTCTTTCTTTCTTTCTTTCTTTTGAGACAAAGTTTTGTTCTTGTTGCCCAGGCTGGAGTACAGTGGTGTGATCTTGGCTCACTGCAACCTCCACCTCCCAGGTTCAAGCAATTCTCCTGCCTCAGCCTCCAGAGTAGCTGGGATTACAGGCACCTGCCACCACACCTGGCTAGTTTTTTGTCTTTTTTAGTAGAGATGGTGTTTCACCATATTGGCCAGGCGTGTCTTCAACTCCTGACCTCAGGTGATCCACCTGCCTCAGCCTCCCAAAGTGCTAGGATTACAGGTGTGAGCCACGGTACCCGGCCAGTCTGTCTCTTTTTATTGTTGAGGAGTATTGCATTGCAGATATGGATACATCACATTATTTATTCATCTGTCGACAAATATTTGGGTTGTTTTCAGATCGGGGCTTTTACAGATTGTACTTGTTACTAGTCTTCAGTTAGCTTTGAGACTCATTATCTCATTGGTCCCCCAAGGAAGAGTATGGGATGAGGTTCTGCATTTGACAGGTGAGGAACCTGAAGTTCAGAGACTTACCCAAGATGACATTAGCAAATGCAGGTTAGAACTCAGGATTTCTCAGCCTGGGCAACATAGGGAGACCCCGTCTCTACAAAAAATAAAATAAAATAAAAACTAGCCAGGAGTGGTGGTGCACATCTGCAGTCCCAGCTACTCGGGAGACTGAGGTAGGAGGATTGCTTGAGCCTGGGAGGAGATCCAGGGTGCAGTGAGCCATTATTGTGCCACTGCACTCCAGCCTGGGCAGCAGAGTTAGACCCTGTCTCAAGAAAAGGAAAAGAAAAAAAAAAAGAACTCGGGATTTCTAATCTCAGATCACTCTGTTCTCTGGGTTCTTCCAGTTCAGGCAGCAGCACAGTGTAGGAAAGGCAGTTTTTGCACAGAAACTACGAACACAGTGTGTGGAATCTGATTCCCTGAGTTTAAATCCCCTGTCTACTACTTACTGGCTGGATGACAAAGAGCAACTTATTTAACCTCTCTGCTTGGATTTCTTCATCTGTGAATCAGCCATAGTAATAGGAGCCTACTATGCAGAGTTATTTTGAGGATTAAGTGAACAAATACTGGTAAGGTCTGAGTGGCTTCTAGTGGGAGGTACTTAATAAGGGTTGTCTATTATTATTATTCACTCATGAAATATTTAAGACCTATTATGGCTCCTCTCACTGGGGCTGCATAACCCTTTACCCTCCAGGGCTGGTCACTACTGGCATGGAGACTTCTAGGGAGGTGAGAGACAATTTTTTGGCTTTGTCCCTGTGGAAAGCATAGAGTTGAAATAAGGGATGTCAAGGACTGGGCTTCCAGTTGGGAGGAAAGGGAGGCCAGTCCTGTTGCTCAGGGACTGGGGGTGGGCATGGCTGGGGAGGTACACTGCACTTGAAATCCAGGCCAGCTCTGCATGACCCTGGCCAGTGCGAGCCTGCCAAGGCCTGCTCTCAGTAGAAACAAACAGCTTTGCCTGCAAAGTGCAAGTTCCCTCCTCTATCCATCCCAGCTTTACTAGGATGACAGAGTTATAATTACCCGTGCCATGAGCTATTATTAGAAGCCAAATGGAGCTTTCATGATCCTAGTAGAGGCTGAAAAATGGAGGATTGAGTGGCTCCAGAACACATCAGGGCCGGGGCAGTGTGTCCTGATGCTGCCTCTTCACGTCCCCCTCACATTCCAGAAGTGTCCTGAGTTGTGCAGTGGGATTTGTGGTGTCTGCAGCAACCCCGTTATTCTGGTCCAAGTTAGCAGCTGTTGGGATTTCTCCCAACCCAGGCTTCTCTTCTCTGCCTGGTGGCTGCCTGGTACTGCCCGAACCTGCGGAGCCGGGGCCAGGGCAGAAAGTTGCCACCAAACTGTGGAGCCGGGTTCCCCAGGTGGCCTTGGGGAGAGGTTGGGGTTCAGATGAGAAGGCCAACATTTAGGCACTTATTAACAGCTTCTGTGATGAAATATTTAACACGTGTCTCCCAACCAGTATTATCTGAGCACCAGGCAAAATGATAGGTGCTTCCCCTAAACATCACTTGTAGCATTATTATTCCTATTTCACTGATGAGGAAACTAATCTCAGAGAGGGTAAACAGTGTGCCTGAGGTCACACAGCATAAGTAAGAGTTGGGTTTGACTCTACATTCTATTTTCTCTTCATGACACTGTAGCTTCCAAGGGTTTTTTTTTTAATTTTTATTTTTTAAAATTTTTTGACAGTAGAAGTCTTTGTTCAGGTGAAATCTCTCCTAGAACTTACAGAGGATAACTCTAGCTACACTGCCAGGGGCTTTGGCTCCAGCTCAATCCCTGCTTCAGGGTCTGTGGTAGCTCCTAGGGCAGCTGTACCCCTTCTGGGGGTCCCTCTGACAGAGACTCAGAGGACTCAACAAAAATCCCAGGACTTCTTTCTTGGTACCACGCAGCTGGCTCAGAGGCTGGGACGGGACTGAGCATGGGGCTCTGATCAAAGCCCTCCTTTTTTCCCCGCTGCCCCTCTCCTGTGTTGTGGGGGTCTCGGCTCCCTGCAGAGCAGCAGCAAAGGGAAAACTATTTTGTAACAACAGAGAAAGGAGGCAGACCTTGCTGAATGCGCCTCTGCCAGCACCAACAGCCAGGAGCCAGGACCTGTTTGCGAGGTGGAGGGGAGAACTGGCCCCCACAGCCCAAGCTGGGGCCACTTTTCCATCCTTTGCAGAGAGGAGGGGAAGGACGCTCAACCTCCTTCCGGGCACCTGGGCCTAAGTGAGGCCCCCTCGCTTCTGGGGACCACTGCTGAGGGCATGGCATGTAGCCTGCGACGTGGCAGTTAGAGAAAGCCAGGCTGAGGAGGACACCTCAGGCGCCGGACTGCAGCCTCACTGTCAGTCCAGGCAGGCCTCCTGGGCTCCATCCTTCCCTCCCATCTCCCTCCCTCAGAGCTGCCCTTCACACTGATAAGTGGCTATTTTGAAATGGAAAAAAAGTTCTAATGACAAGTGTAGGCTGCTTCCCTCTGACAGGGTCTCCTAGGCACTTAGCTCAGTGTCCTGGGAGGTGGGAGGAGGAAAGTGAAGCCACCCAAGCAGCTGGGCTTGCAGTCGGCCACGCTGTGCCTTGGAGCAGTTGTCATAAGTGGAGACCTTTCCTGTCCCCACCCCTGCAAGAAATTGCTGTTCCCCTGCCTCTGCCATTCCCAGGCCCCTTCCTCCCTTCTACCCAGGATGGCCGGACCTGAAACCATTGCCCAGCCGCAGAAAAGAGAGGCTTGCCCCCAAACCTGCAGGCGGGATTGGGTGTTCCAAGCATCACCCCTCTTTCTTAGTTCCCTGATGGGTCCTGCTTCTCCCGGCCCTCACACCCTGCCCTTTGGCTGGCACTGCACAGTCAGGTGCCTGGTAAACAGTGCATGTGTTCCTACCTCCATTCTCAGGTGAGGAAACTGAGTCCCAGGAGCAGTTCGGCTAACTCTCCCCAGGTCACATGGGTTCTTAGCATCTGGCCTCAACCCTCTCAGAGCTGGGCTCTCTCCACTCCGCTGATTGACTGTGTCTTCAAGAGGAGAACTGTGACCTGCAGAACACCTTCGTGGAGGCTGGAGCAGCCACCATCCCTTCAAGGATGAGTCCCCTGGCTGTGACATTGTCACCCCTCTGTGGTGGTGGTGCCCTTTTTTTCCTTTGCTTGGAATCAAAAGGCCCCCCAGAATTCTGGGACCTATATTTAATAAATCACAAATGAAATGCTAATTGATGGTTCAGATGTAAAGCTGGAGGAAGTGGGAAAGTGTTAATGATATACAATTGCATGAAAAAAAGAGGACAGAGAATTGTAATTAGGGTATGACTAAAACGGTCCCACAAAAAGAGGCCTACATATAGGTTAATCATGTGGAGGAAAATATTTGGATTGGAGTGACTCTGGGTGATTTTTTCCTTCTGTTTATTTACTTTTTTTCTGTAAAGAACATAATTCTAAAATAAACAAACAAAAATGAGAGAATTCTCCGAGAGTCCTGGTCACAGCAGCTGCAGAGAGAGGTACAGTGTGGAGAATGAAATCCAACAAGTGAAATATCGGAAATATCAGAAATCACCTTCATTGTTCTTAGAAGGAGGCTGATAGTAGGAGAACAGGTCAGTGGCAGGCCGTGGAATGGCTAAGTGCTTACGACACTGCCAGGTCCATGCCTTACATTCACAACCACCTGTGAATGGAGTGGGTGTGATTCTCTTTGTGACTGTTCTGCAGATGAGGAAACTGAGGCTTGGAGAAGCTCGTTAACAGCCAAGGTCAACAGCAAGTGATGGGTGGAGCTCGTGGCTCCCATTTCTACCTGATGGCCGCCAGGACACAGGGGCCTGCCTCCCACGCCATCCTAACCCTGCCTGTCTATCCCCCATCCTTCCCCAGGGGTGGAGTTCGTGGTTCCCAGGACTGGCTTTTATTGCAAGCTGTGTGGGCTGTTCTACACGAGTGAGGAGACAGCGAAGATGAGCCACTGCCGCAGTGCTGTCCACTACAGGAACTTACAGGTAACCATCCACCCTCCTTGCCCAGCAGGCCAGGGGCTCCCCAGTCTCCATAACCGGGCCAGGTGTCTGGGGTCCTCGGCCTTGCTTGCCTCTGAGTCTAGCTCCTACCTGCAAGGCCTACTCCAGGCCACAGGTTACTTGCCATTCCCCAAGCACACCAAGCTGTTTCCTGCTTCTGTGTCTGTCTCCTTCCACTACTCAGAGAACTCCTGATCTTCCCATAGACTTGATTCCATCAGGCTGCTCTCCACATGGTGGCTCTCCCATGTTGCTCCTAGCGCATGTCTCTACTTTAGTACTTAAAACATCCTGTTTGGATTGGCTTTGGCAATATCCGCCTCTCCCTCTATACTGTGAGTAACTGAAGTTAGGCCAGTGTTCCTCCGGCCTGTGACTGGGGCTGACCCGTTCCCACAAGACTCGGATGTTCCAGTTTTTCTCTGTTTCTGTTCCCCTATGCAGGTATCCCTGCTTCCTAGAATAAAAAACCACTGCTTTGTTCTTTTTAGCTGTTCATCCATACAGCAAATACTTACCACAGGCACGCTAGGTACCAGACACTATTCTAGGGACTGGGGATACTGTAACAACAGTAAAGTGGACAAAATCCCTGTTCTCATGGAGTTTTCATCCTAATGCAGGTGACAAGCAATAAATAAAATAAATGGTATAGTATGTTAAAAGACAACATATAAAAAATACTGTATACACCGTATTTCACCCAGTCTAAGGTGCCATCATTTGTAAAGCACCATTATTTTTTCATATCAACTAGAAAAAAAAATGTTGCAAATCAAGTGATGAGACTCCACCAACTGTAAAATGCATTTTTATTTCAGAGATATTAATGTGTGAAAAAAATGTGTCTTAAGATCAATGAAATATGGTAATATATTCTATAATATATACCTAATTAATATGTAATATATTAGAATGTGATTTTCATGATTAACTTCTGGCATGGGCTAGGTTTTGATAGCTTAACAGAAGACATGGTATATCAGATGGCCAGGGGTAAGTATCTCAGGACACCTGCTGTCTTTACCTCAAGGAATCACACTAGTTATTTGAACCACAAGGCATTGACTCAAGGAGTCCTCACAGTGGCTGTGCCCAAGTCCCAGGCTAGGCATTACTATTATCATTAAATTGTTTAAAAGGGACTGATTTAGCCGTTCTTAACCAGGGACATGATCCAGACTCATCTGAACAGTATTTCTAAAATACAGGTACTGAGTTAGATATTTAGTAAAATTTGGGGGTGGAAGGCAAGTTGCAGGAAGATGTAATTTAAGAAAGTTCTCCAAAAGATTCAAATGTGCATGCCTAGTTAAAACAACAAAAACAACAAAAAACAACAACAAAACTCAGATATGGGCCAACTTTCTTGTTTAATGATTGAGAAAATTGAGGCCCAGAGAAGCTATGTAATTTGTCCAAGGCCACGCAGTTAGTGAGTTACTGGGCCTAGGATCAAATCGCCTGATTCAGAATTACTTTCGTCTTTTCACTCTACTATACTTGTCTTGGAAACTGAGACCCAGGATGTCATGGCCTGGGTCACCATCTGCAGAGGACTCTCATAGGCTATGCCCAAACTCAGGTCATTTAAGCCTTTTGATTTCCCTCTGGAGAGCAGCTGCTCTGTGACTGAGGCAGCCACAGGGCCTGTGGCCCAGGGCTAGGCCTCTCCAGGGGCAAGGCAAGAAAGGCCTGACTTGGCCAGAGCAGGAGGGTCAGACTGGGTCCCACAAAGCCAACTGAGGGAAGTCATCTAGCTTGAAGACATAATCATCCCTTTTCCCGACAAGATGAAACCTACACAATGGCAAGGATGGAAGGGGTCTTGGAAATCATCTGGTCCTGATTTTCCCAAACCTTCATCTTTGTACCAGCTGGCATCTTTTTGAAATACAGCTTTCTGGGCCAGGCACAGTGGCTCATGCCTGTAATCCCAGCACTTTGGGAGGCCGAGGTGGGTGCATCACGAGGTCAGGAGTTCGAGACCAGCCTGACTAACATTGTGAAACCCCGTCTCTACTAAAAATACAAAAATTAGCTGGGCGTGGTGGTGCATGCCTGTAATCCCAGCTACTCAGGAGGCTGAGGCAGAAGAATCACTTGAACCTGGGAGGCGGAGCTTGCAGTAAGCTGAGATCGCGCCACTGCACTCCAACCTGGGCAACAGGGCGAGACTCTGTCTCAAAAAAAAAAAAAAAAAAGAAAAGAAATGCAGCTTCCTGGATCTCACCCTACACTTGTTTTCTCTAGGGCTGGGCCTGAGAGTCTGTATTGTAGACCATCCTTATGTCAGGCTCTGCTATGTTGGCGTGAGAACCTTTTCTCTCATCCAGCATTTGCAGTGGTATTGTGCAGCCCTTCAGGGGGCCACACAGTTCAAGGTCACCTTGGAAGTTAGGAAGAGTTCAGACTTGCCAGGGCCTCTAATTGTAATTCATGTATGTTTCCCAGGGCAGTGGACTGCACTGTGTTTTGAGCCTCTGGGCCACGCCCCCAGGCAGATTCCCCTCCCTGCAGCATGCGAGAGCCATTCTTGTGGTTCTCAGGTGCATTGGGGTAGACACTGACTAAGCCCCTCGTGCCAGCCAACAGCAGTGCAGCTTTACCTGGTGCACCGGCTGGGGAGCTGGGAGTTTCCACCACAGGCTTCCCAGGTAGGATTTCTGTCAGTGGCTTTGACAGAATGCCTCTGTCCACAGTCTTCCCCACCCCAAGCAGCAGGTGATGACTGACACTTAAATCAGGTCACTTTTAAACTTAACACAACTGAGAGGCCTTGAGTTGAGGACCAGAGATTGCTCCTAAAGGTAGGAAGCAGGTTGAAGGAGCCTCCGTTCTCTCTGAGCAGTCTGTGCTGTGCCCCACGGCTGGTCACGGCTCTGCAAGAACCCACCCAGAGTGATTCAGAACAACAGGTGGAGCCAGCGCTCGATAGGAAAACTAGATATCTGCTTGGCTTCAGGCCCTGGAGCAGAATGTGTCCATGTACTGGACGCTCATTCACTTGTCTTCCTCAGCACACAGTTTACCCTCCCTGAGCCAAGGCAGAGGAGAACCCAGGCTCTCCCTCAGCAGCTTTGCCTGCTGCCATCCACCGTTTGCTCTTCTCCCAGTCAGGCTGCACCCATCTCTGGAAGCCAACTGCAGTCTCTTCTATGGAGAGAGCAAGCAGACCTGGTCATCTCACACACACCCTGTCATCTGACCGACCCTCAAACCATCCCAGAAGGGAGGGTGAGGACAACACTGTTCCTCCCATTTAGCAGATTAGTAGTCTGAGGCTGGGAGAAGAGGAGTGGCTTTCTCCAACTCATATGGCCGGTGCTGTGCTAATAAGAAAAGCCCACATGACTGAGTGTTTATTCTGTGTCAGACACTGCGCTGAACACCTTGTGTTGCCTTTCTTCAACTTCACAGCAACCTTATGCGGTAGTTACTGTTATTCCCCTCCCTTCACAGATGTCAGACATATTTGATAACTTGCCTGCTGAGGGCTAGGATTTGAACCCAGGTCATCTGACTTCAAAGTGCACACACTTGACCACTGTACTGGTCTGCACCCTTCGGTCTCCTAATCCAGTGCTCTTTGCCTTTTCCTTGCTGCCCTGTCAGAGAACCCCAGCTGGGGCCTCAAACCTGTCCTAGTCTGCCTCACTGTGTTGACTCCAGATAGCCCAAGAAAGGCCCGACCTGGCTCACAGTGTTGGGCCGAGGCCAGTCATAGCAGTGAGTGTTCTGGGGTCATGCAGAGGCAGCCCTCAAGGATGGAACAGACAGGCCCATTTTTAAATTCATCAAAAGACCTCCAAGGCTCCCCACCCACTAGCCTGCCCTGACAGGAAACAGGTTGTTAAGAGTCTCAAATGTCAGGCCGTGGTGCTGTTTTGCACAGCTGCCACAGGCCAGCGCTCATTTACCCTGCCTTCCAGCTTCCCTCCCTCTGCCTTTTAGGCATAGATATGTTGCCTAGAGCTTGGGTTGTTTCTGGAAAACAGAGTTGTTTTGGGAGTTAAATGAGCTTATTTAAGTCAAGCAGTTAGAACAGCACTTGACACTAGATAAGGGCTTTGGAAGTGTTTGCTATTATAGCTCTACTTTCTACTCTCTTTCTCTTTCTTTCTTCTTTCTTTTCTTTTCTTTTCTTTTTTTTTTTTTAGACAGAGTTTCGCTCTAGTTACCCAGGCTGGAGTGCAGTGGCGTGATCTCAGTTCACAGCAACCTCCGCTTCCCAGGTTCAAGCGATTCTCCTGCCTCAGCCTCCTGAGTAACTGGGATTACAGGCATGTGCCACCACACCCAGCTAATTTTTTGTATTTTTAGTAGAGATGGGGTTTCTCCATGTTGGTCAGACTGGTCTCAACTCCCGACCTCAGGTGATCCACCCGCCTCGGCCTCCCAAAGCGCTGGGATTACAGGCGTGAGCCACCCGCGCCCGGCCTTTTTCTACAGGAGACTTGTATTACTTGTAAGCTAACATAATGAGGTACTTAGCATAAGTTCTGTAGCCCTAGGGGGGATCTATGAACCAGGAAGAGGGTAAACCCCACAGCCGGGCGCAGATGCCAGGAGAGGGATGATTGAGGCATGTCCCCTCCTCTCCTCTCCTTCTAGGTCCCTACTAATGTGTCCCTTCCTCCACTTCCCCTACTCTTTCCACAGAAATATTTGTCCCAGCTGGCCGAGGAGGGCCTCAAGGAGACGGAGGGGGCAGGTAGCCCGAGGCCGGAGGACAGTGGAATCGTGCCACGCTTCGAAAGGAAAAAGCTCTGATGCTCCTGCTTCTACTGCTGCTGCAAGGTTGGAAAGGAGAGCTTGCCGAAGCGGCGCCTTCCTGATTCTGGGGACAGGACTAAAGCCTGAGAGGAAGGAAAACCAAGCAGGGCACATTGCTTGCGTTTGTTCCCAGAGACTCAGTGAAATGCCCCTGAAATGTCTCCAGGAGCCAAGTCACCCAGGTGTGTCCAGCCCACTGAGGGCCACCAACTCTCTCCCTGTTGACTCTTGTTTCTCTCAAACCATCTTTCAATTTGTTTTTCTCTCTTTTCCTCTTGTTCTCTCTCTCCCTCTCTCCTTATGTGCCAAGAATCATTTCCTTTTCACAAAACCCAACTTCTCAGGGATTTTCACAGTGTTTAAATTCTTGATAGGATCGAATACGTCAGGCCTGGCTGAGTCACGCAAGGAAAAGGTTTAATGGAAACTCCTGGGTCAGGCGAACCCCTGCAGTGAGTCTACAGCAGTATCTCTGTCTGGTGTCCTGTGTATCCCCTGCGTTGGGGAGCTGAGTCGGGTCTGCAGTCCCGATGAGGGGACATCACGGACAATCTGTTGGCAGAGCTGGGAGGGACTTCATTAACCTCTTCCTCCAGCTGGGCCACCCTTTTGAAAAGCCCCTGTTTTTAATAACTCTTTCATCCTCTCAGTTCTTCTAGAAGTCTGCCAGACTTATGCCTTAAAGTAAAATAAAATGAATTTTAGAGAAGATGAAAAGAGCCCTTCATTGTGGAAGCTCTGATAAGTTTCCTCCAAACTTACTTCCCTCCTCTTGATTTTAGGAGATGTCAGGGTTTGTTCTATTCTGGACAATGAATTTGGTACAAATTCACTATAATTAAAAATAAAAACAGAAGCATCTTCCTCCAGCTAAAGCAGCAGTTGGCGTGGGTTTAGGTGGAATGCTGGCCTTTCTGCAATGTGTAGCATTGGCTTGAGACACAGTTCCAGGCTGTGGAAAACAGAGTTGTTTTTGGGGGTTAAATGAGCTTATTTAAGTCAAGGAAACATCATCTGTCCTTCACTCAGCCGTAGTGCCTGCACTCTGGGGTACAACCTCCTCTCAATGGGATGGTTTTTAAATGGCCCTCCAGTTGGGGGAGAAGCTAAGGAAAGAGAAGGCTGCAGAGCCAAAGAGTGGCATTGAAGTTTGCTGGGTGTCTGTAGGTGGACCCTTTCCAGCTGGGCAGATAGTTGAGGGTTCCTTGGGTTTGACTGCCTGTGCAGACTTTGATACCAAAATGTTATGAAAAGTCCTGATTCCCACTGCTCTTTCTGGTACTGGAGGGTGGGTACCTTCAGGCTGTGGGGTCTGTAGTCTGATATTCCATTGAAAGGGTATGGGATAAAGGTGCTGGGGGAAATGAGGCTTGGCCACAGCCATAGAGAGGCCCTCGGGCAGGTAAGAAGGGGGCCTGGAGCTGTTTTCCTAAGCTGAGATACTCTCCTGAAAGCACCCTTCATAGCTTAGCCCAGGAAAAATAAAACAAGGAAGACAGGTCACTCTCCCCTAGGCAGTTCCTGTTGTTTCATTCCTGACCTTGGGCAGGCAGATTGAGAAGGGACTGTGTAGGGTTTTGTTTTGTTTTGTTTTCATTTTCCTTTTTATGGCATGTGAGATCATACTGCACATTCTGTCCTCTGTACTAATAGAGGAAGGGCAGAGAGATTAGTTCAAGGCTGACATTTTATATCAGGTAACTGAGGCACACAAAGGGAACAAATGAAGAACATAAAATGATCAGTGTAAACCTGAAAGCATGCAGTCATTGGCAAGGGACATACTCATGGGAGCTGGTGAGAGAGAACAGTTAAGGCAAGCACCAGGTGAAAGCGGACCAGCTTGAACAGGTGTGATGCGGAGACGTTGGAAGAAGCAAGAAACCTGAACTCATCATCATCATCAGACTATTAAATAAAATTTATAGGAGGCTGTTGGTTTGAACTGAGCTCCTGCACTAGGCCCAACAGACCAAAACAAAAGGGAGTCACTCATGTTAAAGTTCTGTCTTCCAAGAAATCAGGAGAGAGAGAGAGAGAAAGAGAATAGCCAAATCCCCAAACAGGCCAGTTTTAACCAGCATGATGAAGAAGTGTCCTTGGTTTTAACCTTTATAAGGAAAGCAACTTTGAGATGACCAGTCTGGTTTTTGTTCTTTGTGTCTGCTTTCCTCAGCCCTTTTCTGTCTATAAAGCCAACCTCCTCCGCTCAGCTCCTGGGAACACTCATTCTATTTTATAGAATGACGTGTTGCCCAATTCTAGAATCAAAAATAAAAGCCAGCTAAGATCTTTAAAGTAAATTTGTTGTAATTTTATCTTTTGAGAAGACCATATGGGGGCTGCTGAAAAGTTGGTATCTCAAATAAAGTCTGAAGATCGTGGCTCAGCCCAGATTGTTCCCCTGGAACTCCACAGGTTTGAACCTGGCATTCTGGACACCAGCTCTGCCTCCTCCATTTCTCAGAAAACCTTTGATCTTGTGTGTCTTTCTTGCCACTGAAGGGAATTCTGGGGGCAGTTCTTTGGCCTTCTTGCTGAACTTTGCTGGACATAGCGTACAATTTTTATGGGGCAGTTCTTTGGCCTTCTTGCTGAACGTTGCTGGAAATAGCATACAATTTTTATCAGAGGCTAGAACTGTACATTATCGGAGAGACTGGACACTTTATCCCCTAGCAAAGTGGGAGCAGACTTCACCAGCTCATTCTGCTTCACCCCTGCCTTCCCCCAACCCCCATCCCCAGCAGCATTTCCATGGAAATCCAGATGGTCGTGTAGTGTTATGGCTCCCATGTGATAGACTGGCCTTCATATTGGAAAGCTAGGGAGGGCCCCAGGAGGGAGAGAGATAAGGCACTATCTGCATTCAATCAGAACCTTCAGTTTAAAATCATCTAAGAGTCTATACTTGTGTGTACATATGTATTTATTTTTATTTATTTTTATACATTTCCATTGGCATGGTCCTTCACCGACCCTATGATTTGCACTTTTTATTCCTACGTGTGCCACACACAATGCAGTATTAAAGGCAACCAGGAAAATATTGATTTGTTTTTTAAAGCTTTTTTTCAGTGTTTTGTCAGCCATTTCAAAGTGTCTCCCAGAAAACGATGCTGAAGAGCAATTGCTACCTTGAGCAACAGATTCCTATTTACTCCAGGTTAATATAACAAAAGGCCTGTATAATTTTCTTTTCATTGTTAACACCCAAAATAGCATCTATCTAGACAGTATCCCCAAAGAATTTGGAAAATTTGATGGTGTGAGCAGCAGCAATTAGTATCAGGGTTTCCCATTCTTGGACAGTCCGAGGCTGTGACCTGTTAGATAATTAGATTATACTTGAACTGGACCAGAGTTTGTTTTTTGAATTTATGAGAAAAACAAAAACACTAAGTTAATTTAAGTTTGAACTTGTAAAGTATTGAAATTCGTTGAGTGTCCTATAAATTGTCACGACTTTTCCTGATCTGTATAACTGACTGCAAAGTGTTTGTTTTTACAAAAGAGAAAAGAAAAGATTTTTAATAAAGATAATTTGAAAGCTGTGAGTGAGTGACTCCGTGTCATGCAGGGGTCCCTGGCATTTGGCTGGGGAAGGCTCACCAAGCAGAAAGGCTGACATTTGGTCCCTTTGAATTATGAATTATTTTCAAGGATTAAACAGAGAGGACAAAACAGGTTTTCTTAGGGCTCCAGTTAGGCTACCAGACAGAAATAGAGATTCTCAGGGGTGATCCTTGGAGGATGAGTCTGACTAGGCGGGGGCTGCTGTCCTTTTGGAGGCTCAGATATGAACATTTCTTGGCCTCTTATAAACTCCTAGCTTTGCTACCCAGTGTCCTGCACCAGGGTTAGGCCATTTCTGGCAGTTCCATCCCCTGTGAAGATGAATATCTGGTGGTCAGTGCTGCAGTGGAAATAGCAGGCCCAAGCAGAGGCCTGGCCCTGCCCCTGTTAGCCCATGACTTCCTAAGGCCCGCTTCCTTGGGTGTAAAAGAAGATAAGAATATTAATCGCTCCGGGTGCGGTGGCTCCCAGCACTTTGGGAGGCTGAGGTGGGTGGATCATGAAGTCAGGAGATCGAGACCATCCTGGCCAACATGGTGAAAACCCGTCTCTACTAAAAATACAAACATTAGCTGGGCGTGGTGGTGTGCACCTGTAGTCCCAGCTACTCAGGAGGCTGAGGCAGGAGAAGGGTTTGAACCCAGTAGGCGGAGGTTGCAGTGAGCCGGGATCGCGCCACCGCACTCTAGCCTGGGTGACAGCGAGACTTCCGTCTCAAAAAACAAAAAAGAATGTGAATCGCCTCCCAGGGTTGTTTCAGGGTTAAGATAATTGCTGGTGGAAGCACTTGGTGTGCTGCAGGTCACCAAATCTTGTTTGTTTTTGCAATCTGGACAGCAGCCCTCCAAATTTCAGGAGTTCTTAAGTTGTTTTTCAACCGTTTATTCTAGCAAAACAATGCCAGTCTTCTGGGACCGGTTGGCCAGTCCTTTGAATGGCCCGGAACCTTCTCTGGGCCCTTCCCTTTTGTTGGCAGTGCTCCTGAGTCAACAGGGAGGGGCTGGCAGCCTGGACCCAGAGGGCAAAGTGAGGGGGCCGCCTGCAATTCCTGGGAGCAGATTGCAGGTCTGAGGAAAGTTCCTGCTGAACCTGTTGCTGTCTGCACCCCACCCCCACCTCCTGTGGCCATCCTTGGACCAAGCTCAGGCCTCCAATTTCCAACCAGGAGGGGTAAGGAAACCTCCTTTTCTGCAACTGCTATCTATGTCCCAGATGGTCAAAGCAGTGAATGGGCTTAGACTGGTTCTGCTGCCCTAAGTTCAGGATCCAGGATGCTTGGGGGTACCCCTGGTACCTAGTCCTAGCTTGTTGTTCTACGTGGCACAACTCTAGAGAGGGCGTCCACATTATATCCTCTAGGATAGCACCCCCTGGAGTTGTGCAATGCAGATACCCAGCCAGGGACACTCCCTTCCCTCGAGTTGCAGTTGTTCCCCCAAGCCCGGGTGTTCCCATTTGCTCTCTGATATCTCTGTGGGCCCTAGAGCCTGATTCTGAGCCAGTCCACCGGGCTGGACTACTGCCACTCAGACCTACTCCCTGTATCACACCTATCCCCAGGGATCAACTCCAGGCTGCCCCTGCCTGACTCTGCCACAGCCTAGAAACTGGGTTCACTCCTCATAATGCCTTACTAGGTCAGGGCACTTGGATACTAACCTCGTTTGCTTTTCTTTGTTTGTTTATTTGAGACAGGCTCTCACTCTGTCACCCAGGATGGAGGGCAGTGGCACGTGATCTCAGCTTGCTATGGCCTCTATTTCCTGGACCCAAGCCATCCTCCTGCCTCAGCCTCCCTAGTAGCTGGGACTATAGGCATGTGCCACCACATCTGGCTAATTTTTTTGTAGCGATAGGGTTTCACCATGTTGCCCAGGCTAGTTTCAAACTCCTGGGCTCAAGCAATCTGCCTACCTCAGCCTCCCAAAATGTGGGGATTACAGGCATGAACCACCGAACCTGGCAACAGCAACTGTTAACTGCCCTCTAGGCAGTGGTGGGACATCTGGGCTCAACCCTGTAGACTCCCCATTCTCTTTTCCCACCATGACGATCCTACAAGGGTGCCTATCCTGAGTGAAATTCCAAGCATGTTAGAGAAGGATGGCCCAAGAGACCTCCAAGTCTCTGCTTTTATAAGTGAGAAAACAGGCCCAGAGAAGAGACATGACTTGTTTGAGGCAACGCAGCTTATTGGTATAGGGCCAAGACTAGAATCCAGATCCCCTGAGTAGTTTTGCTGGGGCTACTTGGAGAGATTACAATATTTCAATTACATCATCTTGTGAATTTTCCAGGTCTAGTCCTAGCTGGACTCTGGCATTCTGCAAGGGACTCAAGAGAAATCATGGATTCTCATGCTTCGGGTGCATCAGCCACACCTGGTGAGCTTGCTAAAAATGCAGATTCCTGGCCCCTCCCATGGAGATTCTGACTCACCAGGTCGTGGGGAGGGCCCAGGCATTTGCATCAGCAAGCCTGGGGGGTAATTCAATGCAGGTGCAGATCACTGATCACACTTAGAGTAACACTGCCCTAGATGTCAACCAGGGACTTCCCCAGTAGCTCCTAGAATAGAAGCACCCAGCAGCTCCTAGAATAGAAGCGGCATTTATTTTACTGGGTGGTAGGTCAGGAGAGAGATGAATGGAGACGGTTCAAGGTAGGGACGCTCTAGTGTGAAAAAGGCTTGACAGTAGGAGGCAGAGAAAAGGAGACCAGCATGGCCATGGCAGAAGGGGCTGGTGGCAGCTGGTGGGTGGGGGAGCCGGCGAAGGATGGGGGTGGGAGCGTGTCACAGTCATCAAACTGGGTTTGGGAGCATGTGTTATGATTTTTAGTTGGGTTCGTACTTACTGTGCTTAGGCACAAGTCAATTTTCCAGTGCTCTCTTTATCTTTGTTAATGGCTAGAAGTGTTGTGGTTATTAAACGGCTCCTCGAGATCTGATGGAATTCCTGCGGCTGAGGACAGAGAGCTGTGTGGAGTCAGCAATCCTTTCTCAGAGGAGAGACAAGGAACAGGGCCACTGCCCAGAGCCATGTCACTGTCAGCGAGGAACTCTGGGGTCACACACACTTTCTCTCCCTCTTCCATGAGCCACTACTACTGTGAGCTCAGCCCTGCTGATTCCTGAGTCCCCGTGCATAGCACACTCAGTGTACCCCATAGGGGCACTGTCTCTTGACTTCTTCACAACTAGAGAAGCAGGTGCTGTTATTCTCCCCATTTCATAGATGGAAAATGAGGCTCTGAGAGACAAAGTGGTTTGTCAAGGGTCAGACGACCAGTAAGTGGCAGAGTTGGGATTCAAACCCAGGTCCACATGACTGTCAAACCACACTCTTAGCCACTATTCTCCACTGCCTACCTCCTGTTCCTGCATCTGCCTAAAGCCTCTAGACTCTGGGTCTGCACAGAGTTGCTTGGATGAATTAGAAAGTCTAATTTAGCAATACTTCAGTTGCCTATGACTGAATTCCTGATTGTTAAATTCCAGAAACTGATTTCTCCAGTACCTTTCCTCCCTAGAAAGTAGATAAAGAAAGGCCTCCACCCACAGCACTGTACCCAAATAAATACTGTTTCTTCCTTCTTCTCACTTGGGAGAATTTGCCAGGGGAGCTGAGTCTGAGGGCAAGAGAGGAAGGAGGGCCCCAGGAGCTCTTCAAGTTCCTCCTGTTTCAGGGAGGAGAAGAAAGAGAAACAGCATGCTTTCTGCTCTCAGGGGACTTGGGGACAAAGAGGAGTGATCAAAAGGGGATTTCCCACAGCCCCAAAATGCTAGCCACATCGCACTTGTGACCTCTCCTTCCTGAGTGAAACTTAATTGTTGATTTGCCTGACACCTGTTTCCAACATGGAGTTGAGATGATGCACTCATTAAGACAACAAAAAAATTATAAACAAGGATTGAAGAAAGTTGGAGGCAACAAATATATGGTCTGTAAGGGCTCATACAGCAAGAGATGTGACTGGAAGCCTCCTGGAAGCCAAGGCAGAAAGAAAACAAAAAACACAAAAACAAAACATGCTCTGTCCTTAGGCTGGAGAGAGCATTCCAGGTTATTTGGGGAGATTGTTCTACCTGACTCTATATTCTGGAATAATTCTCCTGAGGGACAGTACAGAGGTACTGAGAGGTGTTGGAAAAATCCTTAGGGAGCTCACAGCCCAACATTAGAGAAGAGCATAGTGGGAGTCCCTTTGGAGGGGACATTGGGATGGCTCCTGGTCTGTGTGAAGTAGTTCCTCATGTCAGGGCAACACCTCCCAGTGTCCGAAGGCTTGATCCTTGCTCACACCTGCCCAATCCACCTGAGAGTGAGTATGCTGGCTGGAGTTCATGAATTTTTGTTTGGGCTTATTTTCAAGCTCTGTTTTTCAAATATCTCTGTTAAGTGGCTGAACTTCCAGGAACCAGTGTTCACAGGCCAAGGAGGAGGTCACCATCATCTCTACTACCTGACTGCCCTGCCACACCCACCCAACATTAGAGAGCTCTAGGGTGGGGCCCCTGCTGTCTGGATTGTTGGGGGGAAATAAACCTCTCCAGCATTTATTCTTCAGGGTTACCCCAAAGGGATGACCACAGCCAGGAGGGAACCCAGCCTGACTGGGAAGTGCTGACTCCCTCTGGCAGAGTTTGGGAACTGCCCTTCATATCTGTCTGATAAGGAGCGGCCTAGGGAGGAGGGGTGCAAAAGGTGTGCCCCGTTTGCCTATGAGATCTCTCACCATCACTGTATACAAGCCTAGGAAGAAGAGAGCTTGTTGGCTCAGGGACAGATTTCCATGCTGGGAATCAGGACCTTGAGTTCCTGGGTCAAATCTTCAATGAATTGATTCTGAGATGTAGACAAATGTTTACCTTCTGTTGCTTCAGTTTTCCCGTCTGTGCATTTGATGTGTGCCTTGTGCGTGCCACAGGTTTTGAAGGAGAAAATAAGATAGGAGCGGAGACTTGCTGTCAATCACAATA